CTGCATTAAAATAATTATAGAGGAGGAAAGAATCATATAGACCACCATAAAGAAAAAAGTTCACAAAAGCCCAGTCGTGCTTAATTAAAAGCTATGGCAAGAGCATGTCTAATGGAAATGTTTCGATCTTAAGTGTTATGTAGAACAATAGGCTTCTACGAATTCAACATGAGCAGTTTAAGTATTACTCAGTGCTATGACTGCAGCACAATATATGAACTTCTAATGGGCTCCAAAATCAATAGCAGTTTATTTGACATCTAATGCCTATAACGGGTTTCTTGTATTTGTAATTAGACTGCACTGATGCGCCAGAGGGAATGTGTACTGTGGGAGGACAGAAGAATGCACTCAGGCCTCGGTAGAGAGGAAGCAGCCAGCTGGGAAGTGAAGAGGGCTTCTGTCCAGGGGGTCAGTGTTCTGCTCAGCCGACACAGTCCAGCTCTACCTCCCGCTATTTCCCATTTACTTTAGTAATACTTGTAGCAAATCTGATGCTATGTGCACTGATACCAAACAACTGCTGGCTTTCTTTTTTACAATAACTCAAACTGTGATCGATGTTAGTTAACATTCACTTTTTCACTTTGCAAGCTGTGTGGATCTAACAAAAATTGATTATTTTCTCAGTACTGTCTGCTGAAAATGTAAGTCTATTGTACCTCAATTTTGTTATTAATTTTGAATGAAAATGTAAAAAAAAAAGTTGCACATTGAAAGCACAAGAATAATTTATTCTACAGTGTTGCAGTACAGTTCTGTGGCTTTCATGATCATAAAGGCCTGTTCACAGCAAAAATGAAAACTACAACAGTAACTATAATGATAGTAACATTAGCATCCATACCAATGGATGATATCGTTACAATAACTCAAACTGCGATCGATGTTAGTTAACATTAACTTTTTCACTTTGCAAGCTGTGTGGATCTAACAAAAATTGATTATTTTCTCAGTACTGTCTGCTGAAAATGTAAGTCTATTGTAACTCAATTTTGTTATTAATTTTGAATGAAAATGTAAAAAAAAAAAGTTGCACATTGAAAGCACAAGAATAATTTATTCTACAGTGTTGCAGTACAGTTCTGTGGCTTTCATGATCATAAAGGCCTGTTCACAGCAAAAATGAAAACTACAACAGTAACTATAATGATAGTAACATTAGCATCCATACCAATGGATGATATCGATCTGTTTATTCCAACTGCGCACTTATGTGCAGAACTTGAATTCAAGAAGGAAGGATTTTGATCGGCTGTCAAAGTTTTTAGCCATTTATCAGCTGAAAAAAATGCACTGAAAGTGATTCCAACAATATGATTGTCTGCATCTTTATTATTATAGTTGTGTGGTATGGACTCATTCTTAGTCTGAATGGACCACCTTTCTTATCGGACTGAGAAAACTTCCTATGATCAACCCTTGGGACAACCATGACCGCCTGTATGCACCAAACAGATATAAAATAATAGCAAAAACAATTAGAATTAATTCTTAGTTGGCAGCAAATCTTTCAATTAGGGCTGGGCGATAAATCGATTTTATCGATTAACTCGAATGTGTAGTTTACATCGATTTGTTTGAATGAAAATCGGTTTTCTCTTAAAGGGGTGGTTGATTGCGATTTCACTTTTTTAACGTTAGTTAGTGTGTAATGTTGCTGTTTGAGCATAAACAATATCTGCAAAGTTACTAAGCTGAAAGTTCAATGCAAACGGAGATATCGTCTTTTAAAATTCTGGCAGTTTAATGCCTACAAAAACGGCTGGTAAGGGACTACAACGAGCTTCTTCCCAGGTCCGTTACGTCACGAACCCAGATAAACCCCGCCCCCAGGAACACGCAACAAAGGGGGCGAGGCCATGCTGCACTGCTTTAGAGAAGAGGAAGAGAAAACTAGGGGTGCATGTAAAAATCTGTTCATATATGAATCGCGATTCTGTCTTCTAACGATTCTAATGGAATCACAAGCTTCAAAACCAATGTTCTAAAGCAGCGGTTCTCAATCCTGTTCCTCGCGTCGCCCTGCTCTGCATCTCTCTCTCTCTCTCATTCAGATCGTCAGATCAGCTCCAACAAACTGTTCCATTTATACACTTATTTTCACATAGCTATGAGAAGCGTTATACATGGACGTGCATACGGTTGCTGTGCTGTATTAAAGCTTTAATCAGAATAAAACCGTATATTAAAAGCTAACAGAAGCAGTAGCATTTACAAACAACTATTCTAAGTTGCTTCAGAAGCATTGCAAGTATTGTGTACGACAATAAAACAGTGCATTGACATAAAAAAGGATATTTACTTTTGGTACTTAAGTACTTTTAAAAGCAAGTACTTCTGTACTTTTACTTAAGTAAAAATCTGTC